CATGTCCTCATTTTCTTGGAATTTTAGGAATATTTGATTTGTATAAGTGCTTAATTCTTTGTATATGCCAATCAGAACAGAGCTCTTTTAATTTAAGAGACTTCACAAAATAATTTTTTGATGCCTTCCGGAGACAGGAAAACGTTACGCACACACATAATATTGAATGAATGACAGACACATAGACTCAGAGCACTTAAAACTTCAATTCTACAGAGGCAAGAGCTGCAAGAGGTGCAGATTAACAAACCAGATGCTCTGTGGTATCTCGCCCATCCATCCATCCATCCATCCATCCATCTATTCATTCATTCATTCACAGAGCTCCATTCATTTATTCACAGAGCTCACCAAGTGGTCAGATCATAAACCAAAATCCCAATCATTGCTACCATGGATGGGAAATAACTTGGCTACAAATAAACCAAAAACGAACATTTAATACACAGCGGAACAGGCAGCGTGGTCTGGCGTCGGCTGTCTATTTTCCCTTATTTGATCCATGTGAGGAGCAGGGTGGTGATATGCAGTAAAAATGTCTTTTTCCTGCACTTCGTTTATTGACTGCTGCTGGGAAAACCCTTGTAAAACTCCACACTTAATCTCTCTGCACTCCTGCTAAGAACTTGTGGCTCCCTCCCTCTTGTTACCATGTGAATCCAGCTGGTTATTTCCTCAGCTCCCACGCCAGCCCATCATCTGTCTGAATATGCATTGAGGCCATGGCCCTTACAGTGTGTCAAACAAGCAAGGCCAGGAGTGACGTCTGCTCTGAGTGTGCGTCACTGGATGGGTTTCAGGGATCACTGAGGGCAGAGGTTTTGCCTGTTTCTCTTTTTTATACATTTTTATTGATTTCAGAGAGGAAGGGAGAGTTAGAAACATCCATGATGAGAGAGAATCATTGATCAGCTGTCTCCTGCACACCCCTCACTGGGGATCGAGCCCACAACGAGGGCATGTGCCCTGACCGGGAATCGAACCGTGACCTCCTGGGCAGTTTTGCCTGTTTTGTTCACGATTATATCCTGACAGTGCCTGGCACAGTATAGAGACTCAGTCAATACGTCAGAAGAATAAATGAAATGACTGCCAAACCCTCAGCTGAGTCTGGAGGAAATGGAGGCAGAGTGGGGAGGCAACTGGCTCAGGACTGTGGGTTGAGTAATGGAGGAACCAGGATTTTACCTGGGTCCCTAGTTACTCACCAAGCGGCATATTTGTTTATCTTCACAGCGCCTTTCCTGGCACCGCCCAGAGCTGTTTCAAGGAAGCGCTCGCTGGGCAGCTGTCAGCCTCTCAGGGTGGAGCTCAGCTTTGGGGAGCCACCTCCCCTGAGGTTCCGCCCTGCCTGGGCCAGGCCACATGGTGACTGAGGTGGGCAGAGGTACAGAGCTGGGCATTTCCTCCCAACAGGGCTGTGCTCTGACTGGCAATGCCTGCTCCAGAGCTGACCACTGGGCCACCGAGGCTTCATGGGGCCTGCATTGCAGTTCAGCTGTCCCACACTTGGAGTAATACGCACCGGGATGTGGACCCCATGTAGAATTGGCACCATAAGGGCATTGCTGGTAAAACAACAGATGCTCAGATTCAAGGTCAGGACTGAGGGTCCTAAAGGTTGGATTGGAGCAAAAGGGCACTGATCACAGTGGAGAGAATCTCAAAATTCAAGGTCAGATCAGAAGACAATAGCTGGTAGAATATCATACAGAGGCCCTGGTTTGAGAATTGACCAGTGGTACACTGATAGGAAATAATTACCTAAGGCCCAGCTACAAGCTCAGACCAGAGAGGCTTCTGATGAAGTAAACACACAGATTCCAAGTCAGACAAAGGACATGGAACAGTTAATGGAGGCCTGGAATTGAGGCAAGACTTGAGTGGCATTGATGGCAGAATGGTTAAGAGTTCCAGATCTGATGTTAAACCAGAGGCACAGTGATGATGGATAAATTAACAGAGGCCCAAATTTGACCAATAAGACTATTTTTATGATATGCTCATTATTTATTGAAGATGATTGTATTTATGTATTTTTTAAAGTTTTTAAAATTGGATTTTAGAGCCTCCTGCATGCCCCCTACTGGGAATCAAGCCTATACCCCAGACATGTGCCCTGACCGGGAATCGAACCAGCAACCTTTCAGTGCACAGGATGACGCCCAACCAACTGAGCCACACCAGCCAGGGCTGAAGATGATTTCAAAGCAGGATGTCAACTCTGCCACCTCCGAATTTTAAAATGAGAAAACCTCCAAAGTCCTGTATAACATGCATAATCAGCCATCTTGAATCCAGACTCAATAAAGAACATGAAGAGTGTGAAGGAAAGAAAGTGTTAGAGAACAATGAAACCCTCCCAAATGATCTTGCCCATCCCTGACTTTCGATGGAACCCAGCATCCTCTTAGTGTTGCGTGCAGTGCAGAAGTTAACAGGGCAGGCCCAAACTGCTGTCCTTGGAAAGGTCTGCTTCAAGGTGAGCCCTTGGCTGGCATTTGGAAACTTAGACTTCAGAATGGGCCTCACTACTCTACCTATTCATATAAGCACTGTGGTTTAAGCTGAACCCCTGCTTCCCTCTGGGAGTCTGGAAGTTATATATGTACCAGGAAGGGGTTGCCTAGGTGACCAGCCACCAATAGAAACCCTGCGTGCTGAGTCTCTAAGGAGCTTCCCCGGTTGGAAACATTTTGTGTGTGTTGTCACAACCCAGGGCTGGGGGAATTAGTGTCCTGAGCAACTCCATTGGGAGAGGATCCCTGGAAGCTTGTGTCCCTGGGCTTCATCCCATGGGCCTTTTGCCCTTGCTGGTTGGTCTCTGTATCTTTTTGCTGGAAGAAATCATCGCCATGTATATGCTGAGACTGAGTCCTCTTAGCAAATCACTGAGTCTGGGTAGTCCTGAGGACCTCCAACACACATATATACATGACCTTGACCATGAACAGTCCAGCTCTCTGCTGTCCCCATCTCATCACCATTTACCTTAGGGTCTCTGAGATGGAAGCACAGTAAGTCCTCACTTAAAGTCATCAATAGGTTCTATACTTTAAGCAAAGTGACATATAACAAAACCAATTTTACCACAGGCTAATTGATATCAACAAGAGTTAAGTTTCTATGGCATCTTATCAACATTATCACGAAACGACATTGAACAAAATAACGTTATTCAAGGACCTGCTTCTGGCTACAATAACCACACAGTCAAATAACAGTGGCTGGAACAAACAGGATTTTCTTTTCCTCCCTCAGCAAGACTGCTGGTGTTAGTTCAGCAGCTCAACAATGTTGGGCCAGCTTGGTGTCTCTGTGACTCTGTGGACTGACCCTGAGGTCTCAAGATGGTGTCACACTTCCCACTGATGCTTCTGGACATGGCAGCCTATAGAGGTGGAGGGAAGGGAGCAGCTGGACCAAGAGCCTCTGACATTTCTGGCAACTTTGACATTTCCTGATGACTCAGGTCATTGACAAGGGATTTGGGTTATCTATCCCCCCCATCTATCCCCCAAGCTTTCTCTTCTCACTCAGTGCTCCCCTCAAATACTGAACATCACTTGGTGGCCTCTGAGTAGCTCCAGGACTTGACTTGGGGCCCTGGGTGGGCATGAGAGGAGCTATGGGTGGTTTGTGGTTCCTCTGGGGGTAGAGAGAAGCCCCATGTCCTCCACTCCTAGCAGAAGCTACTAGCTCAGCCTTAGGGTCCATGGTTGCTCCTGCCCTGGCGTGCACTCCAAGCCCTCAACACCTTTACTCCCTGCTCTGGACAACAACCCGATGCACAGACAGGTGTGGGGCCCAGGCAGTGGCTGCCCTGGGGCGGGGATGGGGGAAGCTGGGCGTCCCTGAGGCAGCAGAGTCCAGCAGACTCATAGGATTAAACCCTGGGGTAAAAGCCAACATTCGCCACCTCAACTTCTCCAGTGCCCCTGGCGCAGCTCCCCGTCATGCTTGCTTCAACTACTGCAGGGTCTCCTGACTGACCCTCCTGCTTTTACCCTCGCCCCGTCTGTTCTCTTCACAGCACCCAGAGGGATCCTCTGCTCAAAACCTTCTGGTGAGCCCTAGCTGGTTTGGCTCAGCAGATAGAGCATCAGCCTGCGGACTGAAGGGTACCAGGTTTGATTCCCAGTCAGGGCACATGCCTGGGTTGCGGGCTCCATCCCCAGTGGGGGTTGTGCAGGAGGCAGCCAATCAATGATTCTCTCTCATCATTGATATTTCTATCTCCCTCTCCCTCTCTGAAATCAATAAATATGTTTTTTTAAAAAGTTGTCCGGGTTCATGGCATCTATGAAAACTTTATTAAAAAAAAAAAGTCCGGTGACTCATGCCTCACTCAGACAAAAGCCCAAGTTCTCCTCATGGCCCACAAAGCCCTCCAGGATCAGGCCGGGCCAACCTCATTACCTCCCACACTGGCCTCTGCAACCACCCTTCAGGCACGTTCCAGCCTCAGTGCCTTTGCACTGCTTTTTTTCTGTCTGGAATGCTGTTCTCCCCCAGATACCATGGCTCCCTCTCTCACTTCATTTGGATCTTTGTTTATATTTCACAGTCAGGAATGTCTTCCTGGATTACGACACCCAAGGGCCCAACCTTCCACTCCTGCAACGCTATCTCCTGTCCTCACTTTATTTTTCCTCAAGATGCCCATTTTCAGCTGGCCTATTATAGATTTCTGTTATCTACCTGCTTCCACTAGAAAGCGAGCCCAGGAGGGCAGGGATTTGTCAGTTTAGACCACAGTTTACCCCCTGAGCCTAGAACAGTTCCTGACCCACAGTACACACTTAGTAATGTCTGTCAATGCACGACTGTAAAACCCTCAAAATGGTGCCTCTGACAAGGCAGATAGTCAGTAAATGGTTGTTGAATGAGAAAATAAATCAGCACATGCATGAATGAATGAATAAGTGAACCCCATCCCATTTTGATCCCAGAGCTGCCCTCTTCCCTCTCCCGCCCCCAGCAGCCCTGGGAGCCAGCCATGGGCATGAACACAGGAACTTTATTTACAAACACAAGGCTGGAGCATGGGCTGGGTGGAAAGGTGGGCATGGCAGGGCCAGGAGGCTCCTACTTCTGCTCCCGCCGCCAGACGATGACCATGCCGCTGGCGTCACTCGAAGCCAGCAGGCTCTCGTCGCAGTTGAAGCTGACGTCCAGCACAGGGGCGCTGTGGCCCTGCAGCTTGTTCACTGCAGCCTTGGCTGCCCGCTCCACGTCGAAGAAGTGCACACACATATCCTCGCTGCCTGTCACTGTGCAGGTGGGAAGGAGAGGCCCTCAGCAGGTGTTGCAGGAGGTGGGGTGACCCAGGGGGAAGTCTCTGAGGTCCCAGCATGCCTGGGGGGTAGGGGGACCCATTCCTAGATGGGAGGTTAACTGGCCCTTTTGGTTCTACATCTAGAGACTGAGGTCTCTCAGCTCTTTGGGAGGCCCATGCCTCATGCCGTGAGGTTTCTGAGCTGGTTGGGGCTCTGTGTTCAAAGTGGAAGGCTGGTGGGGTGGGAGAGGTCTCAGGGTGTCATGATGTCTGAGCCAGATCAGCACCAGCCTGGTGTCTGCTTGTCCCCGGCCACCCAGACACCCAACCCTATGGGACTCACCCACGCAGGCGCCCTGGCGGAAGGACATGAGGGGGCAGAAGATGCTGCGCACGGGGTGCGAGCTCTGCTCAATGGGGAAGCTCCTCTTCAGCTGCAGGGTCCCCTCGTTGTCCACCACCCTGAGGGAGAATGAGAGCGGGTCAGGCGCAGCCTCAGGCCCCGAGGGGGGATGCGTGCTGTGCTAGTCTGTGTCCCTGTCCCTGCACCGAGTTCTTTCAAGGTTCATGAAATCCAGTCCTGAGACGACTGCGTCAACCTGGAAAGCATGGCTGGTGTGGGGTTTAGTGACCGTTTGGACACTTTATCCAGTGGTTCTCAACCTTCCTAATGCCACGACCCTTTAATACAGTTCCTCATGCTGTGGTGACCCCCAACCATAAAATTATTTTCGTGGCTACTTCATCACTGTAATGTTGCTACTGTTATGAATCGTCATGTAAATATCTGATATGCAGGATGTATTTTCATTGTTCGCGACCCACAGGTTGAGAACCGCTGAGAGAGCCTCTGCCCTGTAATTCACTAGTTACTCTTCCCAAGGGTCTCTCAGCGCTCTGGCGCTCAGATGGGCACAGAGAAGAAATGGCTGACTACACTATGGCACCCGTGTACTGTGCACACCACACGGCTGTTCAAAGGAATGAACCAAAGCTACTGCAGGTGGTCCATAGGCATCGTTTGGTGAGAAAAGAGAGACGTGGGAAAGGGTGCAGAAGGAACCCACATCCATAAAACAATGACCCTCCTTTGTGGGTGTGTGCGCGCAGAGGACTATGGGAGAGGGAACAAAGTGTGGAATGGAACATTCGAAGTTGTTAACATGCTCAACTGTGGCAGGCAGTGGCCAAGATGGCAGAAACGAGGAAGAGAGAAGACAAAGGATGTGGGAAAGAGGAAAAAACTTAGGAGTACGCTTAAATTAAAAGTTTCAAAGGAGAAGACAAATAAAATAGTAAAATGGCAAGTATCCTGTCAGGCAGTGGTCTTCAGACATAGCTGGATAATACTCGGGGAACTTTTTAACATATCAATGCCCAGCTTGCTCCAGAGCTTCTGAAATCCTTGGCCCCATGTGGCTGGCATGGCTCAGTGGTTGAGCATCGACCTATGAACCAGGAGGTCACTGGTTCAATTCCCAGTCAGGTCAGGGCACATGCCCGGGTTGTGGGCTCAATCCCCAGTGTGGGATGTGCAGTAGATCAGTGATTCTCTCTCATCATTGATGGTTCTATCTCTCTCTCCCTTTCTCTCTGAAATCAATAAAAATATATGAAAAAGAAAAAAGAAATCCCTGGCCTGGAGTGGGGCCTGGCCATGACTTTTAAAAAATATATTATTTTTATTGATTTCAGGATGGAAGGGAGAGAGAGATAGATTAATGAGAGAGAATCACTGATCAGCTGCCTCCTGCACTGCCCCTACTGGGGATTGAGCCCACAACCCGGGCATGTGCCCTGACCGGGAATCGAACTGTGACCTCTTGGTTCCTAGGTTGACACTCAACCACTGAGCCACACCAGCTGGGCCTGGCCATGATTTTTGAAGCCCTTCAGGTCATTCCAACATGTGGTCCAGGCTAAGAACTGCATTAGGGTAACATGATATATGTGAGCGAGGACAGTAAACCTCCCTCCTCCTCCTTTTCCTCCTCCTCAAAAAAAAAAAAAGGAAAATGGGTCACTGCTCTATGGGGCCCTAGTCCATGTTATGCCTCAGTTTGCTCATCTATAAAATGGACATAACAACAGCACCCACCTCACAGAGCTGTTATGAAGATTAAAGGAGGTGATATGCATGAGGTGCTTTGAATAGGACCTGGCCCCAGTAACTGCTACCTAACTGCTAGCTACTGCCATTACTTTTTTTTAAAAAAAACACATTTTTATTGATTTCAGACAGAGGAAGGGAAAGGTAGAGAGAGAAACATCAATGATGAGAGAGAATCATTGATCGGCTGCCTCCTGCACGCCCCCTAGTGGGGATCGAGCATGCGACCCACACATGTGCCCTTGACCAGAATTGAACCCGGGACCCTTCAGTCCACAGGCCGACGCCCTATCCACTGAGCCAAACCGGCCAGGGCTGCCATTACTTTTTACTGCTACTACTGAGGTCACCATAATATGATGAGGAGGAGGGGGGTGGGGAGGAGGAGACTGGACCTCCTCGCTCGGTGAGGTAAGCTGATGAAGGAGCCAGGCCTCCCCTCCATCTGCAGGTGGCCGGAGGAGGGAGACCCACCTGTAGAGCAGCAGCTTGTTGAGGCAAGCATTTATGAGCAGCGAGGGGTCCCGGGCCTCGCGGCTGACCCAGGAGCGGGCAGAGATGCTCGTCACAGGGCTGCCCTCATGCACCACCAGGCGCTTGGCTTTGGTCAGCTTCCCTGCGACAATGGAGGGGAGAGGAGGCAAAAGTAAGGGCGAGGGCTGCGTACCAGGAGGGCGGGAGTGCGAACACTCGGACGTGGGCCTGGGGCCTGCCTACCTGTGGCCATGTCGAAGAGGAAGGAGAAAACACTGCCTCGGTCATCTCCTGCCCAGAGCAGCCGGCCAGGGGCATCAAAGGACAGGGCCAGGACACGGCCCGTCAGTTTGCTGGAACCGCCCTTCACCTTCTTGCCCGTGGAGATGTTGACGACATGCAGGTTTTGCTTGGCGTTCCCCACCTGTGGATGAGACCCACACACCATCATCCTGCTCCCAGCCGGTCCCTCCTTGAGTCTGACCACCGTGGGGCTGCTATTAATGGGACCCGCTTCTCTCTGCTGGAGTCTGATTCCAGTAGGGCCATGGTGGGTAGACTAGAGGTGACCCAGGCCCATAATCCTCCTGAGCCAACCCGTCTGATAATCTGACCAGAGCACACAGTGCAGCAGTGGCTACAGGGGTCACAGGGCCATCCTAGGCCCACGGTAAGAGCTCCCTTGCTGGTCCTTCCTGGAGCCTGATCCCACTGGGGCGGGGGCTGCTTCTACATCTAAAAGGATCCTGGAGACAGGCTCACTCAGCCAGTTCCCCCTCTACTCCCTCTCAGGGCCAAGCCAGACTTCATTTCCTTCCCCCACTGCCCACCCTCTGACTCTCTATCCTAGGGTCGGCCCACAGTGGAGCTTCCACTGAGACAAGATGAGGTTTCCATCTAGTCATCCTGCTCCACAACCAGCAGCCCCTGCAGGAAATGGAAGGCCTACTGCTTGTGGGACCAAAGGGGTGGCAGACCCATGACCCTACCCCCTGACTGGTCACCCCTGGTGTCTACCACAGTGAGGCCATCCCAAACCAAGAACTGCATGTCCCCATTCTGACTGGATTCCGTCTGAATCTGACCACCAGGGGACTATGGCGATGGACTAGAGGGGATCCCCCCACATTGATGCCCTAGAACAGCTCTCTTGGCCCAGCACCCCGCCCTCGGCGATGGCACCCTGGAGCCTGACCACAGTGAGGTTGTTGTTGACCGGCTGGAAGGTGCAGCAGAGGAGTTCAGCGCCATCGGGGTCAGGGATCTCCCGGATGCAGCGGCCGTCGTCAGAGGCCCAGATGCGCATGGTAGCATCGAGTGAGGTGGACACGAGGATGTCATTGGAGAGGGACCAGGCAAAATCGGAGACACCGCGGGTGTGGCCCCGCAGCACACGGAGCACGGTGGGTGGAGCGGGCACCAGCTGACACAGGGAGATGCTGCCATCGAGTGAACAGCAGGCCAGGCGGTGCCGGTCGTCATTGGCGAAGCGCACCCTTGGCACTGCAATGCCAAGGAGCCACTGGTAGGTGTCAGCACACTCACCAGGCGCTTTTGTTTATAAAAGGTTCTGCCCGACCAGTGTGACTCAGTGGTTGAGCATCAACCTATGAACCAGGAGGTCACGGTTCAATTCCGGTCAGGGGCACGTGCCTGGGTTGTGGGCTCGATCCCCAGTAGGGGGTGTGTATAATTTGGTTAAGATATATACATTTTCTTTTTAAAATATATTTTTATTGATTTCAGAGAGGAAGGAAGAGGGAGAGAGAGATAGAAACATCAGTGGTGAGAGTGAATCACTGACTGGCTGCCTCCTGCACACCCCTACTGGGGATCGAGCCCACAACCCAGGCATGTGCCCCTGAGCGGATGCTCTGTCCACTGAGCCAAACCAGCTGGGGCTAAAAATATATCTTTTTTTTTTAGAAGGTTCTGACGTGTGAGCTGAGGGCAGGAACCCACCGCACCAGGCACAGCGGCCGTAGCAAAGGGCTTTCCTTGACTGACAAAGGGGGTTGTAACCCCGGAAAGCCTTCTGCTGAAAGTCCCGTGCATCTTAGCAGGTGCGTAATGGACTGCAAGAATTCTACAACCTGAAAAGGCCTCCACATCTCAGCAAGCACTTTGCAATCACCAAGGTCTTAGCAGTTTGCAAGACTCCCTCTGACCTCTGCAAGGGGATTTCTCTGCAGCAAAGGCTTTGGACTTGTTCAAGTGACTCACGACCCCAGAAGCCTTCTGCAAAGGGCTCTTTTACACTGCTGAGCGCCCTCTTTAAAAAAACATTTTTTTTCTTTTGTTAATCCTCACCCGAGGATATTTTTCCATTGATTTTTAGAGAGCATGAAAGGGATGGGGAGAGACAGAGAGAGAAACATCGATGTGAGAGAGACACATCGAATGGTTGTCTCCCGCACAGCCCTGACCAGGGACTGGTTGTGGGCCCCGACCAGGGATCAGTTGCCTCCCGCAAGCTCCCCAACCAGGCCGGGATGGAGACTGCAACTGAGGTATGTGCCCTTGACCGGAATTGAACGCAGGACCTTTCAGGCAACAGGCTGACACTTTATCCACTGAGCCAAACTGGCTAGGGCTGCTGAGCCCCTTTAGGGTAGACAAAATAGCCAAGATTTTGCAGGCCACTTTGCAGAGGGCTTTTAGGTTTGTGAAAGGTTTTAAGGGTTGGCAATTGCTCCTTGGGAGGTGGGCCAGACTGCATTCCAGAAAAGGATTCAATGGGTGGTTGTGACAGTTTGGGCAAATCCATGGTGATGGGACCTGCCATCTACTGGCTCACCTGCCTCGTCCACGTGCTGGTCAAAAACATGGTACATGCCCGCAAAGGCGTAGTTCTCACTCAGCGATGTGTCCCCAGCCATGGCTCGACTTGCTTCTGCTGCTGATGTGGGGACCACACTGCCAGGGGGCCTGGGCCCCAACCGAGGGAGGAGGTGAGAGGAGATAGGTTCTGGCATTCAGCCTGCCATTGCCCCATGGCTCCTCTCCTTTTCACAAACCCTCAGCCCTGCGCTGTCCCTGGTGCATACCTGTCCTCATAGACGGCACGATTCATCTGTGCCTGCAGCTGGTAGGAACCTCGGCTGACGGAACGGCGGTGTCCACGGGCCCCCAGGGCCCGAGGATCATCCTCGAAGTCCTGCAGAGAGGATCAGGGTGGGTGCATCTTATAAATAACCCTCAAGAACCTATGAGGTCTAGAGCCTTCAAAGTATACCCAGAACCAGATCCCTTCCCACCCCGTCCCCTGCCACCACCTTCACCTACCTGTACTATGGTGGCCTCTGCACTAGTTACCCTGCTCCCACCCTTGCCCCGATCAGGAGATACTCAATAAATGGTCTCTGAACAAAGAGTGGCCACCTCCCAGGAAACCACTCAGCTCAGTGTCTTGCTTCACTCGTCTCAGATCAACTTTCACCCCCTCAGAGAGGCCTTCCCTCATCATCCCCATCACAAATAGCTTCCTGCCTGGCCGGTATGGCGTGGCTCAGTGGTTGAGCATCGACCTATGAAACAGGAGGTCACGGTTCCATTCCCAGTCAGGGCACATGCCCGGGTTGCGGGCTGGATCCCCAGTGTGGGGCACGCAGGAGGCAGTCAATCAATGAATCTCTCTCATCATTGATATTTCTCCCCCTCTCCTTTCCTTTCTGAAGTCAATTAAAAATATATATTTATATATATAAGCTTCCCTTTGTCTCCCACACCAGTTGTTTTATCCCCCGAATCTGCCTTATTTTTTGCATGTTAGCATGTATCACTATAAGCCATGGTAATTATTGACTTGTTTATCTGGTTTGCTATGATTACTGACCTAGTTATCTTGTTTATTGCCTACTTATCAACCTGTTTATTTATTGTCTGTTTATATTCTTTATTGGGATATATTATCTCTTTTGCCCTCTACTCATCCTAAGAGCTTAGAGCAGAGCCTTGCACATAGCAGGTGCTTGACAGGTCTGTTGAATAAATAAACATGGAGGCAGGTGGTATGCATGGCAGGCGGTGTGGAGGAAGCTCACCTCCATGCGGTCGAGGGTAGTGCGGCTGCTGCGGACGATGCTGTTGCTATAGGCACGAGCACTGCCTGGCTCCGAGAGGGGCCCGTAGCGCTGGCCCAATAGCTGCCCACGCAGCCTCAGGTACTGCCGCCGCAGTGCTGGGGGGTGCCCAGCCTTGGCATTCTCCCGCAGTAGCTGGCTGCGCCGCCGGATATACTGTGTCCGAAACTGTGGGAACGTTGGTGTGCGGTACGCGTTGTACCTGTGATGGCAGGAGGCAGGCGAGCAGCAGGCACAAGACAGATGGAATCAATCAACTCAGAGGGTAGGGAAGGAGCATGAGGTGTGTGGCAGGGAGGGGTCAGGATGGCAAGTGATCAGCAGTGCTGATGGGGGTTCCTCTGGCAATGTGCAAGGGTGCGTCTACAGTAATAATGAACATGGAGAAGAGGTCACGTGGGGACAAGGAGTGCGGTCTGCAGCTCTGCTGAAGTTGGTATGGGGTGACTGAGTCAGTGTAGACAATGGGAGGGGTCAGTGTGACATGGTGATGGGGGTTAATGTGGGGCAGTGGCGGGGGTCAGTATGGGATGGTGATGGTATGAGACTGGGGAAATGATGGTGGTAAGAGAAGTCTGGCGAACAATGGTGGGAAATAGGATGTCACCAGCCTGAGCTC